ATAAATATAATAAATGTATTCACAGTAAAACTTATTTTAGTTTATACGACATCGGCTGAAAATATTGTAACTGTAAACTGTTATTTTAATCATTAAAAAAAAAACAATTTTTGGTGTCATGGAAATAAATAGGTTAATTATTATGCGGCGAACTTCGTACCGCCTTATTTAATTTCCCCAGTCACTAAGATTTTTCTTTTTATTAATTTTCTCATGTACAAACCTTGTCCTGACAATAAGGAAGACATATTAAAAAAAGAACCATCATACTAATCATCTATACTAACACGAAACACTTGATTATTTATTTGCAACGCAAAGGTTCCGAAAGTACTGGACCAGTTTTTAAAAATTATTTCACCAACGGAAAGCTACATCACATGCGCTGAACATAGGCTATATTTTATCCCGAAAAAACAGCAAATTAAGTGATGAAAATAGGAGTGGAAATTTGCATAGGCAATTAAACTGTTACCATAGTAACCATTGTTTACTATTCAATTTGTCATTGTAATTACGTCAGTGTCTTTTTATGAATCGATATCTAAATATGCAGTTACAGTTCCCATGCGGGCGAAGCCGCTGGCGGAAAACTAGTTATTATATAAAAATTGTGGTCAACCTACGATTCTGACGAGAACTTTGTCGGTGTAGTTCAAAACACATCGTTATTAATTCTGGCCCAGTTCCAATAAAACCGACACGGCATTGCTCATAAGTTCGCAGTTTGCGAACTGTTGTCGTTCATTACATCGCATGATAAAAGGAAAAGTTGATTCGATACAGTATTTTTGCGAAGAACTTCACGTTCTTTATATATTATATTGTGATATAGAGGTATTGTACTTTTTATATCTACTTTTTATTCTATCATCAGAGATCCATGTGCGCCTGGATATTTGGAACGTAATTTTCAGTTTCCAGGTGCTTCACACAGCCGTAAACTACGCTCAGACAGCAAAGAAACTCTCGCTACTCCTTTTCACCATACAGGGTTCACTTCAAACTTATTCTCGTTTCAGGCTTCGACTCTGGAACGCACTCCCTCCCTATAATCAAGCTGCCCCTAATAAATTAACTTTCAAAAGATTGTTACGTGAAAAACTTCTGAATTCTCCAACTGCTTGTAATTAATCTGATATTTTTATATTTATGTATGTTTGTATTATACATATTTAAATATTTATTTATTTATGATAAGTAATATGTTTATTATTTCATTATATACAATACTATTTAGATATATTTTTTTTAATTGTATGTGTCTATATTGACTATTTAATTTTTTGTAGCACCGCCTTATTAAAGTCTCTATTTCATAACTTGTACGCATTATTTATACAAAGAAGTTTAAATAAACAAACAAAAAAAAATCTTTTTACTTTGCGTATCGTCTATAATATTTTTGGTGTCATTGATTTACTGCAAGCTAATTAAATGTGCGATCGAATAAAAACTTTTATACTTTATAGAGTGTTTAAATGATAAAATAATTAAAAATTCTCGAGAAGAATTACAATCTTAACATTTATGAGACTAGTATTCCGCTAGCCGCTTCCCCCGCTTGGTCCCCAGGGCACCGTTTAGTCGAGATAAAAGTTAGCCTTCATGTTAATTCAGACTTAGAATTATCCACACCAAATCTGTTAATCTATAAATACTCGTATATATGAACAAACAATCGACAAGAAAAATAAAAGGCTTTAATTTTTTTTACAATTCGTAATTTTAAAAAACTGTTAATTAGTTTTTTTGCGTGAAAGAATAACAAACATCGTACATACATGAATCCTCACAAACAAATTCGTTAAAAATAGTTTATCCAAATATGAAAATATCACGATGATTTACTTATTATGAATTATGACGTCATATTTGTATAAAACATATTTAATATAGTTCTTCAACAACATTTACTACTTTGAAAATTGCAAAAAAAAATGTATCGTTGTATAGTTGATATCGAATTTTCTAAAGAAAATCAGTCTCTTGAATAGATATCATAATCTACTATTAGCTAACGGATAAAGTTGATTGAACAAGCAAACTATTAATTGTTATGGATATACATAAGTTTTTACACAAAGAAATATAAAACATTCTTTCCGGATGCTTTTAATTTGGATGTAAAACATCTATATAACTTTATAAAAGCCCAAAGCTCTTGCGGACTGCTAACGCCATCTATACACTTGAGTGCTCACTTACCAGCAAGTGCAAAATACTCTTGACGTCACAAAAAAGCACAACACCGCGCGTGTGTATAACAAAGCTCTTTATGGTTTTCATGCAGTCCGCTAGGTGGCATACAATCCTGAAACCATCTGAAACAAGTTACTAATTCCAAAAATAAGAAAAGAATAAGACAAACTTTAAAAATGAAAATTCTCGTTTTCAATTTTCTTTATTTCAATAGTTTTTAAAACGTTAAAATATTCGTTTTACATGAAACGGTTCAATTAAAATCACAATTCAAATGATATATCTATACGTGGATTTAACTTCATCCAAAACCTTTCGGACTTTTCATGATATTTTATATTTAAACGGAATATATATCAATCTATTACTGTCTTCCACTTAAAGTCGTAATACAGTAAAAGGTTAACATAAACAGTGGCAAATTAAAGCTCTAACAAGGTTTAGTTAGCGTCGGAGTAAATTTACGCTGAGACTGCACTTAGTCAACATTCATATTATTAAACAAAAACTTAATGAAAGGTTAACCGGGTACGAGGTTTTACGGGAGTAATATTTACTTCTAGAAGGTTTGGTTATATTCTGTATATTATAAATCTGTAAAATTGCAGTTTTAGTGTAACTTTCCTCTGACGCTAAACCTTGTTTATTAATAGCACAGTGTACCTTGGAAAGAACCTAAGGACTTCCCTAATAGTAACATGTTACCAGCTATTATTTTACGAAAAATATATTGCATAACACATTTTCAATAAGAAGAAATAATTATGTAGTTAGTCACTTCTCCACAGCTCATACTTCATTCCGATGTAGAACGTCACAATGTCATCAAAGTTAGCCCAGACGTGGCAATGTAGATGCCGGAACGGATGATTACTGACACATACAACCCCTCAACACATAGTTACACTGAGAACAGTATGTCAAATCAAACCTTTATGTTACGATATATCAAATCCTTGATACAACCTAATATTATAAAGAGAAAAGATTTGATTGTTTGGGTTGTTTTTTTTTTTTTGCATCGAATTGGAATCAAAATTACTGGATCGATTTTTTTTTTTTTTTTCACCTACGTGCACCTACATTATATGGGGTTGACATAGGCTATAATTTCGGGAAATCGCGGGAAAACAGCTAGTAGTACTATAAATATAAAAGAATCTTTGTTTTAACTCTTTTACACTCAAACAGCTGAATCAAATTAGATGTAAAGATAGTTTTTATCTCGTAAAGGCGAAAAATGGGTGAAAAAGTAACATAAAATGTAACAAAGTCTATACTTTCTCAAGACAATAATTAATACTCATCGTGAGATTTAAAAATTAATTAGGCACATCTTATAATTGTTCTTATTTTCATTATCAAGAAATAGCTTTTCACTTTAAAACCAATTAGGTTTTTTTTAATAATTTATAAAGAATAAATTGACAAAAGCTCGGGGAAAAAATAGATAAGCTACTCTGAATAATTGCGGGAAAAGCATAGATATATTAGATAAATAATTTTGCTTTTCATAATTCTAATCAGACATAGAAAACGCAAAAATAGCAAATCACAAAACTAATCACACGTATTGAATGCAGCCGTTCGAAATTTTTGAGTAAAAAATATGCGTCTTTTAATACGTATTAAATATGTAGTAATAATAGAAGTATTACATGTGGAAATTTAGTATATTTTTAAATTTTAAATTACCGATAATCTAACAGAATATAAAAGTATTCCTTATTCAAACTCGTTCTGCGTGCGACTGCATATTCAGCCGGAATGAATGAACGGCTTGTCGTGTCTTCCGAAGCACGGAGGAAGATAATTTTTCTTTTTCAGGCCATCAAGCGATAAAACTTCAAATCACAGTATACTATATCCATTATCGTTCATACTACCCTATAACATCAGAATGTCACCATTGAAAGCCGAGGCTGTTATACTGTTTTAGATTTAATTATCTATTATGGCCGCGAGTATTTTACATCCATCTGCGAAAAGTTTCAACATTGCACTCGAAAGTATACCTTGTGTAGTAGTCGTTAAGATCAGTGAATGTCCAAGGCAACGTTGTCAGGTTTTACTACGGGCATCGCTTGTGATTTTTGGGATGTACGATAATATCGTTATGTGTTGCGTTCATTTGATGATATAATAAGTTGTTTTAACATTAAGAAGCAGGGTTTATCTGGTCATAAAAATTACAAAAAAACCATAAAGTTTATCATCTCCGCGTCTGTTATATAAAATCATTTATATTAAATGAAGTAGCAGGTGTACTCAATCAATTTAATATTGGAATATCAGTTTGACCTCTTCGGTTAAGCCCTAATTCGATCGAAACAGGGAAACAAGCCTCGACTTGCAGTATCCACCACTGGGTGGATTGGTGTGGATAACAACCGTCGCATGCCGATGCAATGCAAAATTAGATTTCTGTTTCGATTTTTGGTCGCTCACGTCATTTTTATTCGATTTCACCCCCTTCTATGATCAGCCTTTGTTATATATTTTTTTTACAAATAAATTCATCAACATTCAGCATTCAATATAACAGTGAATGTTGTCTAATTTTGTCTAACCCGATGTATTAAACATTGACATCGTATCTAACTAACAGTATTGAACGCTGAGAGTGTTTTGATTCAACATGGTGTTAAGGAAATCAGTCTAACTTAAGAAGTCTTGGGATCACAATTCTTTATGGCGCATCTTTAATTTTCCAATACTATTAATTAATCTTTGACAGTGACCGGTGCACAGTATCGTACGCCGTACTCACGCGCCATCCACCGACTCATTTCATAGTAGCAGTCATATATTTTTAGCGCGGAGCGATCGGCCGCGCGCACCCAACGAGAGTTTTATAACAAATACGCTATGATGTACAAATTGTTTCATTGATATATGTGTTAAGGTGTGTGAAACAGTGACATGCAAGCTTTATGACGAAGGCCCCAAGGATGGACCGCTTCAGACGGCAGCGTTACAAACATGGACGAAGACGGGTATGTCACTAATTTAGAGGTTAACTCCAAAATGTTACAGTAACATTGGAACGGTTAGGTATGTTGGTAAATCTAAATTCCGTATTAAAATTCCAATGTATGTATAACATTGAAAAAGGTCATATTTTAAGGTTTATTTCTCTTTGTAAACAGTGAGCTTTTGTACATGGAAGAGGACCAACATTGTAGTATATTTTTAAATCGCGAAGTTCCGTGTAATGGACATAATTAAAACAGTGACGGGCTTGATGTCATAGCCACAACAGCTGTTAGGTGTTGTGTGTTTACGGAGCTTTAGAAGGCTATTTTTGTTATTATCAAAAGTGGTCAAAATACAGACAATATATTATTGATTCGAAGGTGAATACAAAAATGAAATTAGTAAAATATGCGTACAGGCTATCCAAAACAGATAGCATATCTTAAATCCAAACAATACTAATAGATTTTCCGTCAATAAATAATCATAATGTGTTATGATTTTCCATCGAGATCTAGCAAGATCAATATCATCTAAACAAATATTCGACGTTTATAAAAGAACTTTATTGACATGTAATAAAACATCAAATTCAGTGTGCTATCTATACATAAATACATTAAAGTAGAAAAGTGCTCTCCAAAGCTAAAAGATACAGTTTAATAATAATAATAATAAATTTTTTGCACGTCACATTTTGTTAGTATTAAATAAAAATGCCCTTTATTATAAAAAATATTATGTTATGTATTATATGGGAAATCTATTATACCCTCATGATATTTTTAAACTAAACCGTTTACCAAATAGTTTATCTCAATTTCATTCTTACGTATATGCTAGCTAGATTATTATTTTTGATCGCCGAGAGATGGTGTAGATATTATAAACTGATATATTCCATTTAAATTCCAGCTGACTTTATTTCTGTACTAGTGGACGCCCGCGACTTCGTCCGCGTGGAAGTCGGTATCCCGTGGGAGTGAGAAGTTTTCCCAGTAAAAAGTACCCTATGTGTTATTCTGATGTATAACCTATATTGCTGTAAAGTTTTATCCAAATCCGTCCAGTAGTTTTTTCGTGAAAGAGTAACAAACATCCATACATCCATACTTACAAACTTTCGCCTTTATAATATTAATAGGATAGTTAACAGCTCGTTCGTCAGATAAAAAACAAAATCTACTTATAGTAGTGGAGTTTATAATCAATTGTGGAACTTTGACGCATTTTTTATTAAAAACATTTGAGACATAACCAAATCTACTATTGAGCCTTTCAATGTTTTTTGCACCACAATAAGGATTCAAATCACTTTCGAAGAGCATTGCTAATGTCTATGAAAAACAAAGCTCATTACATTAGTAGTAACCGATCTGGAATGTAAACTATTAATTGTCTCTAAAGAAAAGCGTTTTTCGTAGCATAAAGCTCGTAGGTATGCCGTCCTTCAGCGTTAGTTATGAATGGTGTATGAGTCACTCCGTTGTAAGTTCACCGCGTCTGCTACTGCCTGACGTAGGTACAGTCGATAACACATCAAGTTATTACAAAAGACCACTTTTCTCCAACCAATTTTAAAATTTAACTGGTAGCAATTAGGTTCAAAATTTATTGTACCCTTTTTGTAATAACCTGATTCACTGCTATGCACATTATGCGAAGATTTTAATAATACTAATTCTTGGTACTAGTTATAGGCATGTATTACTGATTCACTTATTTAATTTATTTTATGGATATTCAAAAAAGTTCGTAAAGCGCTTTCTCTTAAAATTAGTATTAAATCAGTTCCCAGATCATACTTAAACCATACAGGGTATTACTATATTATTAATAACCTCAGATTCTAAAACCTTGAATGTATTCAAGTACACTTTACAAGACGTTGAAAATATTCAGTACTTATTATAAGCGGCTACTTCGAGTGGCATCTTCATGAAAAGTTAGAGCTTTACTGTTAGCAGAGCGATTCCAATTCACTTACGTTGTAAACTTATTATTTTGTCCTAAAGTATCCATAAAAACTTTTACATAGTTATGAGTCTGGCATTTACGTAGTAAAATATATTATCATCGTCGTCGTGAAGATCCATGGTACCTTTGCCCACTGCTGAGAATAGGTACCATGGATCTCCACGACGATAGGATCTGCGTAGCCCGTATCCAACGGCTTTCCGCATCCTTATAAGATCGTCGGACCATCTGAGCGTTCGTCCGGTGCGTAGTCACCATTCCAGGACTTTTGTGCCCCAAACCAACGGTTCTACCACCCACTGCCACTTTAGCTGAGCAATCCTTCGAGCAATGGATCCTTAAAAATATCTAAACGGCCTATTTGCTTGACTCTAGAAATTCTTAAAAGAAATAAATAATTAATACTATTAATACAAGTATGTCGACTTTCGCTTACATTGGAGACTGGCACTGGAAAAAACTAACTGGACAAAGTCTTGTTAGAGCCTCGATAGCCCTTCGCAGTACCGGGAACCTCGCACTTCACCAAGTCATCGGATCTGAGCTATGATTAATCTACTTATATCACGGAGTCCTTGAGCGTGTAAGCTCGTAACCTAGTTTTAAACTGTTAGTTAATCTTAATACGAGAGGAGCGTGTCACGTTTCGACCTTGACCCGAGGTGTCTGTTAACGGCGGTGCCTTAAATGAGGTTGGTGTTAAGAATTAATAGTTATTGTTTCGACTCCTAGATCGCGCTACATTATTTGTACACCGCGGTATGGTTTCATTTGTTTTTGTAAATATATAGTCTATAATCAAACTGTACAGTTTGGCACTTTAAGAGATCTTTTTTATGAAACCTGTTTTTTCTTTCGATTCCATAACTCTTTTTGGGACAGTGATCTTTTTGGGACAATTTGTCGTTAACTAGCGGCCCACAGTTATAATTAAACTCCCAGTAAAGGAATATTTGAACGGAAGGATTTGCATAGTTGTCGTTAAACTGAACTGAAACTGTAATATTTTTCAAGTTCTTCTCGTAACCTAACTACTTTTCACGTATGAAAGAATAAAGTTTCTTGTTCTTCTTATTTCTTTTTATCATGTAAATATGTACTGGTAATGTAATTGGGTGTTGCGATTGGAAAATAAATTTCTATATCTATTTATCAATAAAGCACTTTCTGTTGAATTCTATGAAAAATTGACAGCAAGAATATGAAATAAATATGTGTTAGAATGATTAAGGACACCCGAGTAGGGTGTCCGCCAAAGCAATGAGATAGCATTAACTCATACGAATACACATATTTTCTTTAAACATCTCTAGTATTCGGGCTCCGAAATTGGTGACGCTACTGCACTTTCAGCCGTAGTCAAGAAAGTAAGATCAGAATAAGCTTTGTAGTACAATTTTACATGTTTTATACAATATAAGTTGAAAAATTTCTCCATTAAATAAGAACTTTATAAATCATCAAGTTTCCATGATCCAATAAAACTATCTAGTGATGCTACAATCCATTGATTACATATTGACGGGAAGCAAAGGTTCGGTGAGATATTTAAACTCCATGTCGGGGTATTCTAATTATCGATTAAAAACAATAAACTAAACCATAAAGTCGAGGCTGTTCGATCGAGACACAGGAATTTATATTGAAATCATCTAATACCATTTATACATCATACCAATCTTCAAGTCCGAAATGCTACGTGCTACTAAGGCCTTAAAATTTATATTTTACTTTCTGAAATAGTTAAATTGTGTTTGGCTTTTTCAGTGATACATCGTACGCTGAGAACGATAGTGACACAATGCAAAAAAGACGATTTTCAGTAATGAGCGTTTAAAGTTCAAGCAATTGTATTTGGCCCCTCTAAACCGACGTATAGTCACTACGCCACCTAGCAGTTTCTAAGCAAACTACGTTCACAGGGATCTTTGCATTTTAAAGTTTATACATAACAAAGAAAATGTTGCCAAAAGTAAAAATTCGTGTTTTTGGTTAGTTACATTCTTAAAGCGCCATATGTTGTATATTTGATATAGATTTTAGACATTTTAAATTTAAATTATCTTTATTTACAGCAAACTTAACATTATTAGAAATAAGCAAATAAAGTATCAAATATATCAACATAAACCGTAAATTTGAATTTATTAAAAACGTAAGTATCAATGATGTTACATGGATTAATCCCGAATTAAGATTGTCCCTGACAACGGGACCCTAGCGCATAAAGTTATGGTTCCGCGTTCATTGAACCTCGCGAATGTCTAATGTAGGTCAACGCCGTCGCCGGCGCGCCGCGCGTCATCGATCCGCCGAACGCGCACGCGCCCCACGATAATTCCTTATCACAACCCCCTAAGACTTATATTCCTTATGAATCGTTCACTTTGTACAAATTCAGGAAAAAAAATCCTAATTTTCCACTGCTAGAGTCTATTTTAGGGTGACTGATCTGACAACAAATGATGATATTGTAACTCTTATCGAATGCCAATAAGGTACATTTTTTCGGGCTTATTTGAAGAATTATTGAGAAACTTCATGCTACTCGGCTGCTATGAAGCTATAAACCTTTTTGAAATTAATTTTTGTAAAGACGAAATCTGGCATTAGAAGCTGATATTAAAATTAGATAGTTGTAGACAAACGTAACCGACCTCAATCATATTCATATATACAAATAAATAAAATTGGAGTGTCTGTTTGTAATATGAAAATAACTGCTTTTCAGTAAATAAATATGTATGTAATATCCAAAAAAACATTTTTACATTCATATATTTATCTCAGTTTGTACCGGCTTATCTCTGAAACGGCTCGACCGATTTTGACGGAACTCTCTCTGGCTGTTAGCTTATGCAAAAAGGGGTAACTAAGGCTACTTTTCAAGCGAATGAAGTTGCGGGCAATTCCCTTGTCACAGGTTTAGTTACCATACTCCTCCAAAACGATAAGACTGATTTAGCAAACAATCGATCATATTATTACATTTGACCAATTTCTCGTTTACAATGCTATACTGAAAAATATACTTAATTGAAAA